TCATGTTTGCACATGAAATGAACAATGCTGGTAGTTTCAAAATTTTTGAAAGAATTTTTTTTTCGAGATCTGTATGTAGAATTAGAATTAATATGAAAATTTTTTTCACTTCATGTTTGCTTCAGTGTTTTGTGGCTATATAAGTATAACCACTTGTCAAAACAGAGTTAATCTGCTGTCATTTCTCAGTTCTTTTGTTCTTTTATTGGTATGAGAGTGTTTTATTTCCTTTCATTTGATGGATGTTGATTGATTGTTGATATCTCTTCCTTCCTCTTTTTTTTTTTCACTTTTTCTTTTCTTTTTTCTCTTTCCTCACTTTGTTCGTTCATCTCTGGGATATTGTTGACAATTTAATTTAGGTTATGGTTGGAATTTTGTGTATGTATGTATGTTTGCACAAGTGTGTGTTTATGCACGTACCTATGTATGTGCATGCATGCACATACTCATCCACATGTGTATGTGTGTCTTCATGTGTGTGCTTGTTTTAACTGTATTGTGCATGTGTTTGTGTATGTTAACTGTATGTATCTTTTTTTTAGTGGGTTGTATTATTTCACTTTACTTAGTGTACAATACTTGTTTAGTTGTGAGAAAGAACAGTTTTTTTTGTTGGTGATGTTGTTAAACCAATTGTTTCTTTGTGTGCATGTCTATGTAAGTGCACACATACACACACAAGCATGCATGCATGTACATATCCAACCGCCCATGTATGTTTATGTGCTCATGTATGTGCGTCTAACTGGTGTTTTCATGTGTATTTGTGTTAACTGTATTTTGCGTCTAATTGTTTGTTTGTGTTAACTGTATATGTATTTTTAGTAGGTTGTATTATCTAACTTTACTTAATATTTTAATATAATTAGTAGGTTGAATTATGTAAATTTACTTAATTTTTAACTTATTTGATACTTGTATTTAGTTGTATGAAAGAACAGTTTTTTTTGTTGGTGATGTAGTTAAACCAATTAGTTGTTTCTTTTGTACTTTTTCATTGGTTTATGTTTAGTATGCTTCTTAACTTTGGTATTGCTTTAACCATTTTAGTTTAGGTTATAGTTGAATTTTTGTGAGTATGTGTTTTTGTGTGGGTGGGTATTTATGTGCATGTATGAATACTTACATACAAATATGTGTACCCTTGTGTGTTTGTGTGCCTAATTGTGTATTTATATTTATGTGGGTGTGTTTGTACATTCATGCCCTATATGTGTTTTCACTTATACAGTGTTTATGTTTTGTAAAGAGTATAATTGTGGCAATTCATTTGTGTTTTGTGTGGTTGGGTATTAGTTTGTGAAAGGATTATCAGAAAAAGTACAAAAGATCTGTGGTCCATATTTTCGCAGACCCCTCTTCCAAGTAAGACCCCCCACCCCACCCCATAGAGAACTAAATGACTAAGGACCATGTATATGCCATCCCATGTAGCTGTAGTAAGAAATACAAAGGAGAAACAGGCTGTCCACTTAAGATAAAACTACAGGAACACTGTAAAGCCATAACACAAGGAGAAATAGAAAAACCAGGCATAGCTGAACATATATGGAGGGAGAAGGGAGACCACTGCCCTCTGTGATATGAAGTTGAAATAATAGAGAAAATCATTGGAAAATATGAAAACTTAAAGAATCAGTGCATATGTTAAGTCCAAAAATCTCCTAAGCTGGCCAAGCATAGACATGAATACAATATGGGAACAAGTAATATGGAGTGCTAGAGAAAAACAATAATAACAACAAATTGTGATATGAGCGCTGGTAAAAAAAGATAACTGAGACATTAGTTTTATAACTCCCAAAAATTCATACACTAATGTCCTCAAGGACACATGGACCAGTGGATAAAAGCATTGGTTGAAGTAATCCATTGACTTGACCCAAAGAGTTGTGAGTTGAATACTTAACTACAGCAGAGGTGAACAATAATTTGGAGAACTGAGTTAAAGGGGAAATAACTGATACTGAGGCATCTGGAAGAGGCATGGCAAGTGGAATTAGAACAATCTACCTTGGTGGATGAAATAAAAAGTTCAGATCAAAATTCCAGTTGCCTGAAGAAGGCCAGAGTATACAATGGCCGAAATGTTGTGAATATGGCAACAGAGATGAGGACAACAGTTCAAACAATGTAATATTATTTTTACACCCTACCTTAAACAAAAGGTTAGGGAGGAAACTGCCATCAATATGAGAAGAGGAACTATAACAGTGGACTTCAGAAATTTAATTTCCTGAAAAACTGTTTTAAAATAGAAATTTTACAAATTTAAACCCAATAGTAACCACTAGCTGTTCAATCATTGAGTGCCAAATGATTCCTTATAAGGCAGTGATTCCTAAACGATGCAGCACACCTCAGAGATGTGGTGGAAGAGGATAGCAGGTGAAGCAGAATGATTGAAAGACAATCAAAGATGATTTAGAAACAGTTTCAAAAAATTCATATGCCGAAAATAAATATGATTTCAAAAGTTAAAATATTATTATGAATTACTTGTAATTGCATGCATGGGTCCCAATATAAATAGTTAAATATAATTATTGACCGATTTTATCATTGTGATATTTTTGCATTATATCAAGTATTAAGAATACAGTAACTAGGATCTGCAAGTTGGAGGAGAGAGTTATCAATAGCTTGAATCTGCGGTTATCTCCCTTTAACCCTCTCTCTGTTTTTTTTTATTTTTAAATATAATTTTTATCACATAAAATTTGGTGAGACACAAGCAAACTTTCATTTCGAAAATATGTCCCAAAGAAAAAAAAAACATTAGAAACCACTAGTTGAAATGATCCATGATTTTTCTTTTCACTGAATGCCAAGTGTTTCCCTATAATTAGATGGCTAATCTCACTGTTGTAATGTTGTCTTTCTTCAAAATAGCCGTGAATTAGGAAGGTCATAATTAGAGAGAGAAGTTAGAAGGATCAGAAGACTAGCTAGAGAAAACAAAGAGGAGGCTTAAATACTCATAGATAAAACAGAAAAACTTGAATAAATCAGCTACTCCTCAAATCCTACTCTAATGTGGCTACTTGCCATATGTATAAGTAGGAGTAGTCCATTGTCACAGTAATTTTTTTTTTTTAAGCGTTTCACCCCAAGCAAGGCAGGAAGCCACTAGGACGCAAGGGGTTACAGAAGATTTGGAGCAAGATCAGATAGGATTGATAGAGGAAAGGATGAGGAGAAGGATAGTGGATAGATCAAAGCAACTGGAGATGTCAATTGACATTACATTTGAATAGTTGGAGATTATAGCTCTCAGGGAAACTGGAATAGGGAAGGGAGTTCCACAGGTGAGATGAGCGAGATATGAAGCTATTGGAGTAGAAGAGATGGCTACGCTTGAATTCATGAAGTCTGGGAACCAGCAAATGCAGCTCCTCGGAGCAATTACCATGAAAGTATTTGTAAAAAAGACAGAGAGAGGCAACGATGCGTCTGTAGACAAGATGCCAGAACAGGGCCAATTATATTGCATATCCACCTCTGGAGCCTATCAAGAACCCCGAGGCAAACAGAAGGGACTCCAGACCATATATGGCAGCAATACTCCATGCAAGGGCGAATTGTTGATTTGTAGATCTGAAGGATCGATTCCCGGGAGAAAAATTTTGTTGGCGCAGCACAGGGTAGACGAAGCAATTGACTCAATATATTTGTTCCATCTCAGGTCAGCAGTCAACGTGAGACCGAGCAGCCGCAGAGAGATGCTCTCAAGAAGTTGAGTGTCAGACATTCTAATGGAGGGCAGGGAAGGATTTCTGTGGTGATTAATAGAGAGCAGTTTTGTTTTTGAGGCATTAAAGTTGACCAGCCAATTTCTGCCCCAGTTCACAACTGATTGGAGGTCCTTTTCGTGACAAACGGCCAGGTTAGTTATGTCAGCGACACTAGATTAGTTTTTGAGGCAGGAGTAAATTGTGGTGTCATCCGCATAGACTGAGTCCTCCTCTACAATACTCACCATTACTTGATATTTACTAAGTTCAGGACGCCAAACCACAAATTATGGCACCTAGCGAGAATCAAAAGTACTACTGATTTGAAGCACAAACTATTTCTCTATGGTATGCACTCAAATCCACAAAGTTTAGCATAATTTGGCATGGGATTCCTTTTAAATGTTGTCTTCCTTTAGGATGTAGATGGTCATAGCACTCCACAGCTTCCTTTTTTATAATCTGTGAAAGACCATGCATTTTTGGCAAAGATAGTGTAGTGGTTTCTGATTGCTTTTTTCATAGTTCTGAATTCAGAGTTGTACTACTCCTAGACTGACCCCCCCAACTCTAGCCTGCTATTTAATCCATTACTGGGGGGAGAAGGGATTGATTTATGCCTTTCCAACAGTATTTGTGCGAATGTAAATGCAACAGACTAGTCAAGAACTTGAACCCAGCTTGTTGATTTTTCCTTTCTACTATCTGCAAAAAACTACATCAGCAATTATCTGCATGTCAGGACATTGATGATCATGGCTCTCCACAACATTCTGTCCTTTATAGCTCTTAGTAAAGTTTGCCTTTTTGCTATCATTCCTAATCTTTGGCGAACCCTTTACACAGTCTCATTAGGTAGGTTATTCGCTGCCTTTCTCTGTCTCTATTGCCTTCAGATCCTGTAAGTGTCAAATTCTCCACTCCTTCTTTCCTCATTACGTGTCCTAGAAATTTCAATTTTCTCTTTCTGATTTTAGTATGTCTTTTTTGTTTTCATACCCATTATTCTGCAGCAGGTCCTCACCCTTTGCAAATATATATATATATATATATATATATATATAGTTTGACTTAAGGTATTGATAAGAAAAATATAAAAATAAAACCTGTTTTGAATCTTAAAATGTCCCATATTAACACAAATGTATTTTTGTTTTTATTTTTTTTTAATATTGTTTTTTTTTTTTTTTTTTTTTCTTTTGGAAAAAAAAATTTTTTTTTCAAATTTTATATCACTCTTTGTCTCTGCTTTTGTCTTTTTAGGGGTCACCTTGAATGGCAGCTCAAGTCCCTAATTTTAGCAACGGACATAACAAGGCAGCAGGAGTTTATCCGGAGATTCAAGGTAAAAAGACCCTTCACAAATTTAATATTGTAGGTTTGACATTATGCTCATGTCAGTTACAAATTTACACAACATCAATGAGATTTTACGTATCAATATAGTGACATTTGCAGAGTCGCATTGCAATTTCTATCCAAATTTCTGAGATGAGAAGTTAATTTTTACATTAGTGATTGTGAGTTCAATACCTCGGCAAGCTAGTGTGAAAACACATGTAATAACTGAGCTGTACTAAACAAGAATGAGACAAGATATCTAGACTTTTTTTTAAAAATCAATTCACCCAAAGCAAGGAGATAATGCCACTAAGATGCAAGGAGCTATTGGGAATAAAAGAGAATGAAAAGACTTCAAAAGGAAGTGGAAACTCAATCCTAAACAGGAAACAAGAGATAAACCTCTACTCCTGTTCAAGACCTGGGAGGAATGTTAACTGAATAATAAGTAAACCTATCTACTCCTATTGAGGAAAAGAATAAATTGTAAATAAAATTTCAGAGTTTAGACAGAGACCATAGGAGTATAGAGTTGTAGATGTTAAAAGAACTGTTAACCTAATCCTAAACAGGAAAGAAGTCATAGACCTTGACTCCTGTTTAAAAGTCGTGGGAGGAGTGTGAACTGGACGATAGGTGAACCTATCTACACTTATTGAGAAAAAAAAATAGTAAATAAAATTTCAGAGTTTAGATGGTGATGTTAGAAATACGAGTTGAAGTAGACTTTAGAAACCCAATCTTAAACAGGAAACAAGGGATAAGCCTCTATTCTTATTCATGGGCAGAAGAATGAGAACCTTCTGTCCCTGTGCTATTAAATAAAGGGTTCAGTTCAAAATCCTCTGAAGGTTACTTGGATTGACAAATACCCAAGGAAGGCTGTAGGAATGATTGAAATGTGATAACAGCACAAAAGATTAGGGCAATAGCATGTAATTAAAGTAAATATTGCGTTTCAGTGTTGTTACAACTACTATTAATTCTGTTGTCATCTTCCTAACACCTTTATTATCATATATCCTGTGTGTGAATTTGGAAAATCTTTTACTATGTTCCACAGGAAAAGAAAAACAGCATGATCAAAAACAGTTTCACAAGAACAAAATCCACATTCATGAGATAAAACATGATTCATGTTAAGCAACTGAATGCTTTCCTATCACTTTAGGAATTGTGGAGTAATGGATAGCGGCTCGGATAGAAGTAACCGAGATCTGAGTTCGAATTCCCATCGAATCCATTACATTCACTTATGTGCTAATACCTTTGGGAAAGGTATGAATCCTCTTCTTCTCCCCACAGCTATGAGTAAATAGCAGGACAAACTGAGTTCTATAGCCTTGGATGGCAACTGGTCTACTGCAGAAAGAAATAGCAACCTACCGCGGGCAAAAATCTGCCTTATGAGTCGTGTATCAAAAGATACATAATTGCCTAAGCATGTATCACGCATGGCACATAACTGTTTTACTGTTGCCATATCTGGTCTGGTGTTCCTGCTCTTCATCTCGAGGTTCTTGACAAAATGCAAAAAAGTATCTGTAATGTAATTGATCCTGACCAGACATCTTGTCTTCAGTCATTTTCTCACCAATATGACATCCTTCCCACTTGTCTTTTCTACAAATATTTTTATAGCAACTGCTCTGATAAGCTTTTTTTCCTTGGTACCCTGACTACTTGAATTTAAGTATACTACTAGATTGGCATTTAGGTCCCACCCGTTTACTGTTAAAATAGCCAATTGCAACTGCCTCTTCTACTCCAACAGTTTCTTTTCTCACACTTCCAACCTGTGGAACTCCCTTCCAGTTACTTGCTTCCACAATAATTACAATCTTCAAAAATTTAAATGCAATGTCAATTGCCATCTTCTGTCTTTTTGTACCCCATTCACCTTTTGTCCTTTCCTCAATCTTTCTTATACTCAGTGACAGTTTTTTCTCTCACTTTTTGCCTGTGAAATCTCTTCTGGCTTCTTGCTTTCCCACCACTTACAATCTTCAAAAATTTAAATGCAACACCAATTGCTATCTTCTGTCTTCCTGAATTGTTCTTGTCCTTTCTCCTCACTAAAGTCTTCTCATTCTCCTTCACTCCCAGTAACCCCTTGCATCTTAGTGGCATTATTGCCTTGCTCAGGGTGAAATGATTAAAGACAAAAAAAGCATACAAAATTCAAACTTAAAAAAAAAAAAAAGAAGCAACTAGGGACATTGTAACATCTACAAACTCTGCAACTTTTAGTTAATCTCAATATAAAAAAAATTATCATAAAAACTGCAAAAAGAGTTAAAAATTTAATCAATGCTAAACAGAGAGCTAACTTTATATTAGAAGCAGACAGCTCTATGCACTTTGTGATAAATAATAGTTTAACAGACAATTATTTTTAGAGGGAAGTGTATCTCTGCTTTGACTTCTTCAGGTTGACCTGAGGTATCAGATACAAGACAAAATAAAGGAAGTCGATTTTGATTGTAGAAGTGTTGATTCTCATGTCTGGAAACTGCTCCCCAGTGGAGGGAGAGAGAGAGCGAGCTCACTGGCTTGTTAGAAGATGTATACATCGACATTAATAAACTAGCTCAGTTAAAATTTTGTGTTGAAGTTCTTTTATTGCCAGACCTAAACAATTAGTCACCAGCCAGGAGAAGACGAGTGAGAGAAGAATGCAACTTTATTAAACAATGGAGACTGTCGACCAAGATTTCCCCAGCACAAGAGAGAGAAGATACAACATATGAGTGATATGTATATATTGACACAATCACCCCAAGACCACTCCCACCAAGGGGCTATACAACATTGTATTAATTTGGCAAAGTGACCAAGGGCTCCCCAACATGAGGGGTATATACAATATTCGTACAATGAATATATGACCGTTGAGCACTATATATTTCAGTTCATCCCCAGTTCTTACAAAGTTAGTACTGAAAGTGGGATACAAAAACCTTCTAAAAATACAACAGAGGTGAAAGAGAAGATTTTGGCTGGTTTCATTTCAAATAATCAAAAAATAGGATTTGTTTTTTTAACCAATTGATATTGTGTTCTTTTTACAAATAGTTGACAAAATGACAGAAAGTGTCTGTTCATAGTTTTTCGGTAATAGCGAGTGACTTCATAAGGAATGTGATTAAGGAAAATAGTTTACTTTAAACCTTGCAACATGTCAATTAAACTGTCTTGGCCTTTCTTTTATTTGGTTTTTGATTGTTAATCTACATCAATCTGTTTTGATCCTTATAGAAATGGTAAAACTGTGACTGTTTTACTGATTTGGAATCAACAACCATTATCGTCAGGCAAAATACATGGAGAAAAATGACTAGACATGCTTTTAAAGGCAGATTTGTTATATTCTTTTTACAATGATGTTAACCCTGTACAAAGCACAAGAGCCACTCAAGGTAGAAGGTTACAGACTAACAGTTTATGCGTGGAAGTTTATGGTTAACCCTAGATTTGAACAGGTAAATAGCAAAAATAAAACTTGCCTTTTGTGTTTAAAGATTTTATACAAGACAAATGTTTCAGTGTGTACTTGTGGTCATCTTCAGATATCTATTTTTGTCTGATAGATGATATCCGGAAATTGATTTTTGGGTTATTTTGTCTCTGTGATGCCAATTCTTGCTTGTTGTTCAGTAACACTATTATTTACATTGTCTTTTTTTTTTTTTCCTTCCAGGAATATCTTGATAGTTCTGACTTCAATATAAATAACAACGCAAGCCACAGACATTTCGCATTACAGGTAAATGTACATGTTTTTTCTTCCTCCTGACCTGCTATTATTATTATTATTGTCTTTTTTGATGTAATGGAATAACCTGTCACTCGCATGAGTGACTAAACTATAGGTAGTAACTATCTATAAGTATCCGTAAGGCAACAGACTACAGGAATCTAGCTGGGACCTGTTGAGTACGACTCAGACTTACACAAGAATTACCGACCTTCCAATAGCATCACTTACTACTGGATTGACTTGCAATGATTGTGCGCATAACTGTTACCTTATTTCTTATTGTACTGGTTTTTGCAATAAACCTTTACTTATTTTATCCACCGTGTTTAAGTATATATTCTTATTAACACGGAATATAACATTTTTATAATTCTACATGTCTCTTCCTTCCTTAGTTAGCACGTACTTTACTAATCTCATAAATAATGGACTATTCTATTTTGATCATGTGGAAAGACAAAAAGACATATCAGAGCTGCTACATAGTTTCAGTGAGAAAATGAAAACACCATGTCGATACCTCATAAATAATGACTTGTTATGTTTTGATCATGAGGAAAGATGGAAAAAAAAACATACACTATTTACATTATTCAGACTATTGTCCTCATCTTTGTCGCCATGTTTATCAATGTTTCGGCCGTTCTTCATGTGGTTGGAATGTCGAACTGAACCCTTTATTTCACTCACTGGGGTAGACTGTTCTAGTTCCACGTGCCATGTTTAATGGATGTCAGTTATCAGTTATCTCCTGTTAATTCCCCTCTCCAAGTTCTCCACTGCCTTAACCAGGTATTGAACACAGACTATTTGGGTCCTGCCACTGGATCTTTCCACTGTGACATGTGTCCTCAAGGACACATGGCACAGTGGATAAAGGGATTGGTTAGATCCAGTGACAGGACCCAAAGAATGTGAGTTCAATACCCAGTTAACTGACATCCATTAAAAACATGGCACATGGAACTAGAACAGTGAGTGAAATAAAGGGTTCAGTTTGACATTCCAACCACCTACAACAGCCGAAATGTTGTAATAAATATGATGATGAGGACAATAGTCCGAATAATGTAAATAGTGATCAGACTTACTATTAAGATGGATGCAAATAGTTTTCATCAGCATAGATACCAAGCTGAGAACTGGTACCATCAGGAAGGTCATTCAGGAATATTAAAAACGGTGTTAAGTCCAGGGATAGAAGGGTGGCCATTTAGGATAACTTTCATTTTGCAGTTTGATAAGCAAGACTGAATCCAGAAATACCATCACCTTTGAACTTGTGAAGAAGACCATCATGCCAAACCCTAAGATATCCAAAACATCTAAAGCTCGACAGATTACACCAGCAGTTGACCTAGAGAAACGAGAGCCATATTCCTTATCTGAAAGAAAACCCTGTGATATTATGTTTAACAATTCAGATTTCATTAGTCAGTCAGTTAAATGCCACATGTGATACACACTTGAGTAATCATGTATCTTCTGATACATGACTAATGAGGCAGATGTTTTCCCACACAGTCGAGAAGAATTCAAAATGGCATTGGAAAATGGAAGTAGACAATTTCCAGCTTAAAATACAGGAAATAACAGTTGACAAGTGTTTGTTTAAAGCAACCGTCACAGGCATCAAGAATGCTCCAAGAGTAAGGGAGAGAATTTAGCAGTGGCAGTTTTCACCTGCAGTGCGGTAAAAGTTAAGATACGTTCAATCAAGAAGAATCACCGAAGGTGTGTGTTTATAAACAGTAATTCAGACTTTGCTCACCAGGCACTTCTTTGTGGCTGAATGATTACTAGCACATCAGATCAAATGATTGATTCCATAATGGGTTGTAGGTTTGATTTCTGTTGGATAGCGTATATTTTCTATGAAATTTCTCAAACATTCAGGCCAGTAAATGTAATTAATACTGTTTAATTAAAAAACATAGCTTTTACTTAAATAAATTATATCTATGAAAATAACGTATAAATAGAAAATGTATTAAATAATTCTCAGACTTAATTCATTTCATTTATATATATATATATATATATATATATATATATATATATACTTTGGTTTCGTCTGTTGTGTTTTACGGCATATCAACCTCAATGGATTATTTAATGCTGACAACTTTCTTTTTTTCTGGTAATATTTTGTTTTGTTAAAAATCTATTTCTGGTAATATTTTTTTTCTCAAAAATGTATTGCTGGTAATATTTTGTTATTTTCTTTTTTCTTTTAAAAAAAACATATTGCTAGTAATACTTTTTACTCAAAAAATATAATATAAAAGTAATTTTTTTTTTTTTCAAAAATATATTGCTGGTAATAGTTTTTTTTTTCTTCACAAATTTATTTCTGGTAATAATTTTTTACAAAGTATTTTTGGTATTAAAACCTATTTTTACACTTTTATAATGCTTTTTACCTCAGTTTCGGGGTTAACTATTTGCCTATAGCTGGGACCCTAACAGGTGCTACCACCCCGAGTCAGTGTGGACCTGGGAACACCAGCAATTAAGAGGTGGTTCCACACTCCTCAAAACCTCCTGATTAGAGGCCTTGCTGTTGGACGTAGTTTATCGTCTTACTCAGGACACATTTTTGTACTTTGTCCATTTCATTATATATATATATATATATATATATATATATATATACACAGGGTGCAATGGTTAAATTATTGCCATTTTATATTTTTAATTTTGTGCACGCATGTTGTTTGTTTTTGATTTTGTTGACTGTACCATCTGTGAGAATAAGAGCACCCTTGACATAATTCACTCCACCAGAAATTGTACTGTACTGCTTGGCATTCATGCCAGAAGCTCCAATATGAACATTTCAGAGTGTTTAGATGTCAATCTGAGGACAGTACAAAGGATTCAGAAAGAGTTGGACGAGTCTAATAGTGATTACGAAGGCATGGTAGCTCAGAAAACTCACTGATCTTTCTGATGAAAAAAAACTCCCAAAGTTTTTGGTGTGGGCCTCGGACTCAACACAGTGCCCTACATCAAGTGCCTTGAGGAGGTAGTGCTTCCCTGGGCCAAGAGGGTAGCTGCTGGAAGACACGATGTCTGGCAACAGGACTTTACACCATGCCACCCAAGCAGGAGAACACAGTCATGGCTATCAGACAATTTCTGTGACCACATCACCCCTTATATCTGGCCACCTAACTCCCTAGACTTCCATCCCCTTGGTTATTATGTGTGGAGTGTAGTTGAGCGAGGGATCAATAAAACTCCTTGTAACACCAAAGATGAACTGAAGACAAGGATTATGGCAGCATTCACCAACTTAAACAAGGAGACCATCCAGAAGAGTTGCAGGAACTTCCAAAGTTGTCTGGAGGCCATGGTTGAAGCCAATGCTTATTTTATTGAATAAATTTACTCTTTAGAATTTCAATATATTTTTGTGTAATTTTGGTAAATATATCTGTTAAAATGAGATGCAAGTGTTATTTTCTTTTTTGCATAATTTAGACAATTTATCCATCGCACCTTGTGTGCGTGTGTGTATATATATATATATATATATTACACAAATTTAAGCATGCTACTAAATTGGCAATTATGTCCCACCTAATTCTACTACCATGCTACTAGATTGGCAATTAGGTGGGACATAATTGCCAATCTAGTAGCATGCTTAAATTTGCTGTTGAAACAGCTGAATACAACCACCACTTCTACTCCAAAAAGTTTATTTTCTCACACTTATGTTTATTTACTTCATAAATTTAAATGTTGTGTCAATCACCATCTTCTGTCTTCTAGAATCCCATTAAGCTTTTCTCCTTTCCACAATCCTTCTTATTCCCAGTCTTCTCTTTCACTTTCTGTAACCACCAATGGTATCTAGGTACTAACCTTGCTTAGGGTGAAATGATTTAAAAAAAAAAAAACGAACAGTGTGTCGAGAAGAGACAATATTAATGTTTGTAATGTCTTTGTCAAATCAATTATTTTGTTAGATTCTAACTTGTTTGTCAGAAGAAATGGCCCAACTGGACAACAATTTAAAGATCTTTGACGTTTTCATCTTTGACCTTTTAATCTTTGAACTTTTAATCTTTCAGATTGCTTTGAAATGTGCAGACATAAGTAATCCATGTCGGCCATGGAAATCAAGCAAACGGTGGAGTGAACGAATTTGTGAGGAATTTTTCTTGCAAGGTACAAAATAATGTCCCTTTTGCTTTCTTCATATTTTGTTTAACATTCATATTTTTGCAATAATTATCTTCTCTTTTGTGTTATGTCTCTTCAGGATTTTGATGATCATGGCTCTGTCTTTTTGTAGCTCTAAGCAACATTTTTTCCCTTAGCATCCCCCTCCATTTACAACTCATTAGGTAGGTTTTCACTGTTTTCCTGCCTTTTATTTTCTATGAGTGTTAAATTCTCTGAACCCTCTTTCCTCATTATGTATCCTACAAATTTCAACTCTTTCTTATCTCTATCTATAAAAGGCAGAATGTGTGTGTGTGTGTGTGTGTAACAAATGCACGGCTGCAATTTTCGACGGATTTGCACCAAAATTTACATGCACATGCTCCAAGTTAGCGGGAAGGCCAAGACCGACTTTGCATTTCCCAACTCCCATCAATAGTGGAAATAATCGATTTTTTCATGCTTCTACGGCAGTTTTCATGTAGTTTGTGGCCAATTTGTACTGGCCAGAGTGAGAGCCAATAACTGGCTGCCACGAATAGGCAGGAAGATTCTATTGGCCAGCGTGAGAGCCAAAAAAAATCAATAGCTGCATTTGTCACAAGTGGGAAAAATTTAAATCTGCATGGCACTTTACTCCAATTGGCTCATTCGCTTGCTTAAGCTCAACGTTGATTCTGATTCCACAGAACTAGGTTGGGTGTGAAAAAGTATTTGTTGTTAACATTCTTTTTTCATTTGGTTTTTCCAGTTACGAGTCCTTTTTTAAAGCTGATCGTTTTGTGTTCATTTTGTTTAGTTCTTTTTTTGTAACAGATTTAATGTTTAGTATAGAGCTTAGAAAAAATTCGCAGTGTGAGATAGGCAAGAAGTAAGGCATGTAGCAACATTAGCATGGTGAAGGGCACTCCTTTAAAGGCAGGGAAGGGCAAAAATATTTTAAGTCAAGTGATAGCGATTGCTGTATGAGTCATACGATTTTTGAATCAAGCACGGGCAATGGTGGGCCATGCTGCTAGTTCTAAGTATAAGTTTCCTTTTTTTGTTTCCATTTCCTTAAAACTTTCCTGTTGCTCATATCTTCCAACCGTGGTTTTCTCATCCTTCTATCGAACTACATCTTTGCTGCCATATTTCTTCTTCATCGATAAGGGAATTGTCCTCCAACATTCACTGTCATATTCATATAGGAGGATTTACATTGCATATCAATAGGGTATACTATTTTTGAATGCACTGACCGTTGAGGCAGGGAGCTAGATTGGGGGCCCTTGGCAGTGTTTGTGACCCTCACTATCATATCAACATCTGCTTTTTTCAAACTACATGATGAGACATTACAAATGACTATTAAAGGGTGTAAAATTTTTACAGATTTTTATGTCGTTCTGTAGTCTTCTGTTGTACAAATCCGTGAATTTGTTTTGCTTATGCTAAGTCTCGAAAAAACACTATGTAAAATTTACTAATTTTTATCCACAATGTTGAATGTGTTAAAATGAATCAACTTTTTAACGAGAAAAGTCTCAAGTTGATGTTAAAAATTGCCGCAAAACATTGTTGATTTATTTAAGATGGAACTATCTATTATGACATGTCTCTAATTTGTATTTAGATATATTTATTTTCAATTATTCTAGTTGAATTGTTCACTTATATTGCATATGATCCATTATTGTATATAATTAGGTTACAATAAAACTTGTATTTTATATAAATACTAACTTATGAAAACTGAGATGTAGTAGATGTAGAATATTGGTTGACCTGCAAGTGGTCTGACACACAAGTAGACTTGTGTAGTCACTTCAAGCTGAACTGCCACCCTGAGTCATTTAATGGAGAGATATATGGGTGAATAGAGTCAACTCATTCAAATGTGTTGGGCAAGTCTATTCCAGCAAAGTGGACCTACCCACATGCTGCATTAGGTGCTCTCCTATAAATAAGGTAGATTAGCTGTCTTGCCTTTCCATAGATACAAGAAGGCAGCCATGTTGACAGGTAAGTCATTTGACTTCTACATCTCTCTCCTCTCCCCATTGTGGAAGCATAGCGGCCGTTGGGGAGGAATCAGTTCCTTATTGCCTGGCCGATAATATGGGAGTAGCCAGGATAGCACCCTGTGGATCCTGGTTCTTGATGGTGGTGACTGAGTAGGTCTCTGGGATGCCAGGTCACTTCGCAATGTAATGCTGCCATTTCCCCGATTCTTTGGCAGATTGATGTGGCCTACACATATCTAAAATCGTCGGCTCAGGTGACACAGGTAAGGCACTTGGTATAGGGGTCTTGATTTAAGGTGCTTCAAGTTTCCTTAGGAATCTACGGTTCCACACGGTTATCCTACCTGATCTACAGTAGAGTAGGGGTCCCTCGTATCATAGATTCAGTGGGAGTGGGAGACTCCTGCACCATCCCAGCATAGCAGTAAAGCAATCTTTAATTTGTTTCCAACAAAATTTTCCTGTTTCTTAAAACTTTCGTTTTCAATATTCTAATGCATTCTCCCATCCATTTACATAGACATATTACTGTTTCTCTTTGCCTCTCTTACCTTGTAAGTGTTAAATTCTCCAACCTCTGTTTCTTCATTATGCATCTTAGAAATTTCAACTAAGTATCTATTTTATTCCTATTTTCCTTAAAAATTAGTATATTTAATCGACATTATATGAGTATAGATATGACAGTTCCCAACTCTCTATCTAGGCTAATGACACAACTAGTTACTAGTAGTCTTAGTAGTAAGTTTGACCAGTTCGAAAAGATCAAATTGGCAGCTGAACTAAAAAATGACCTACATGTCGTAAAAGCTCATTTTTTTCCCTACTGAAAAAAAAAAAAAAAATTACACATAAAATTCAGTTTGACCGTTATAAATGACATCACCTTAAGTGGCTTGAAATTGCTTCCCACAATCAAGGGAATGCTGGAATTAACCAAAATCAATTTTGATAAACACCCAAAAAGCAAAACATAGACTTTGTGACCTTTAGCAATAGTTATCTTTTACTTCCTATTCTTCTTAAATTTTCTTCCTTTAACACATAAAACCTGTCGATAGAACTAGGTTTTTAATGATTACTTTTTATGTGATCAGCATCTTTATTAATCAAATAAGGATTTTCGTTTAACTACAGGAAATATTTGTTGGTGCCCACAGATGAAAATGTATCAATGGTTCGTTTTCTATGCCTTATCAGCTTTTGCAGGTTATTTAAAGCCAGAAAATGAAAGACAAGTAGATCTGATTAAAGGAAACGTTGATAAAGATTTGAAACAGAAAAGTGGATAGACGTGGAAATTGAGATAGAAAGATAAGAATAACCCAACTCGATAGATAGATATGAAGATTTCAGTGATTCGTTTCCTACAGTTTATCAACTCTTTGCAGGTTATTTAAAGCCAGAAAATAGGAGACAACTAGATAGGATTAAAAGAGATGTTGATAAAGATTTGAAATGGAAAGGTGGATAGACATGTGGAAATTGTGATAGAAAGATAAGAATAACTCCAGTCGACAGATAGATATGAAGATTTGATTGATTTTCTACGGCTTATCAACCCTTTGCAGGTTATTTAAAGCCAGAAAATCATTTTACATTTTAAGAATTTTTTTTTTGAGACTTAGTGATACAATCTTACTCATTAACCCATAGCTGGGTTGGGAGAAGAAGTGGATTGAGACTTACTCTGAATTTGATAAACAAGCAAGAAATTATGTGGATATAAAGTGGGGGCATCAATTCTCTATTGTAATCAATATATAAATTGATCCCTCACTTTGTGGTAATGGTAGTTTCTATACATTCATATATATATATATATACACATACATTTATATTCCAAAGGATGTAAATAAGAGATGTGCCTGTGTAGCTAATCATTATTTCATTGATTGATTTGTTTTCTATGGCTTATCAACTCATTGCAGATTATTTAAAGCCAGAAAATATTTTTAGATTTTAAGAATTTGGTGGGGAGAAGAGGTAGCGTCATACTTTTCCCAAGAGTATTTGCACATAAATGAATATAACAAACGAAATGGGAATTGGGACTTGGCACTCCAATTAACAATTTCAGGCCATTATCCAAGCTTACAGCACCTAATATTCCCAAACAGACACCCATTTAGGTACTGGCTAGACTTGACATTGCTTAACTTTGGTGATCATATGGGAATCGATGTTTCAATGTGATATGGCCGTAAGCTGAAAATGTATCAGAAAATTACAAGCAAGAGAACTTGTAGTCAGCATCCTGATAAAAACTGCGAACTGCATCTCGTTATTGGCAATCACTCTGTTAAGGAATGAGTTCTCATAATCAGATCTTGTGCCTGCAAAGTACCTATCATTGGGATTTATTCTCAGACACAAGTAATTATTACTTATTATCTCCAGATTTCTGCAGAGGTATCCTACAATTCTGTGTCTCTGATTTCAGTGAAACGATTCTTTAATTGGGTTTGCATCTGTTATTATTAAAATAGGCAGCAATGAATGCAGTGGTGGACAGAAAAGTGGATTTTTGTTTCCAGAGAATGGCATTTGCTTTCATTAGCAGGATAAATAAGATTTTTTTTTTCTTTTTCTCCAATTCAGGGAAAATTAGATAAAACCTACACTACTGCCATTTTCTACTTCCAGCATTCTTACTAATTATTAAAACATAAAATCAACTATTGATTTGTTCAAATCCATAAACTAACACTAAATAGACTCTCTAGAAATAATATGTGTGTGTGTGTGTTATATTTTTCTTGTCAGGTGTGTTTCATAAACTGGGTCACATCACTGAATCCATTGCTAAGTCAGCTGTTAAGAAAGTTGGTTCACTGTATTGTGCTAGACAATTTTTCTCTCCAGAATCTATCTTACATATCTATAAATTTACCATTTGTCCATGCTTAGAATATTACTTCCATATAGGGTCTGGTATTCCTACGATATATCTAGAAATTCTTAATAAAATACAATGGGCAATCAGCAATATTATTGGTCCTGACCTGGTATCTTGCTGTCAATCACTTTCCCACCACTGTAAAATTGCTTCCCTGTGCCTTTTCTTTAAATACTTTCATGGAAATTGTTCAGATGAGCTCTTCGCTATGGTAACTGGACTTTGTGAATTTAAGCACCGTACTAGACTGATGACAAGGTCTCACCAATATTACAGTTGATTTGGCTAGATGTAACCATGAGTTCTATGCTAACAGTTTCTTTTCTTGCATTTCTCGCTTGTGGAACGTCCTTCTGGATACATGCTTTCTAGCCAACTTTAATGTTCAAAAATTTAAATGCAATGTCAATCATTATCTAATGTCTTACTGATTACTCTTCTATTGTTCTTATTCGTTAATGTTTGTTTTATAATTTTTCCACATTAAGTGCTTGTGTCTAATGGCTTTACTGCCTTGCTTGGGGTGAATTTCATAAAAAACAGTATCATAAGTGCACCAGCTTTAATAGTAGTGATATGACTAGGGCAAGACAAGGTTGCCACCCAATGCAAGAGAACCCAGTCAACCTTATTATTTTTTTTTGATCAATTCAACTTAAGCAAGGTGATAATGCCACAAAGATGCAAAGGGCTTCTGGGAGAGAATGGAAAAACTTTAGAAGGAACCAGAAACCCAAACCTAAGTAGGGAACAAGGAGTAAACCTCTATTCTTGTTCAAAAGATCAGAGAGGAGTATGAACCAGATAGTAGGCAGGTCTATCTACTATTAAAGCAAACCTATCTATTCTTGTTATGTATTGTCTTCCTTTAACACATAAAACCTGTCAATAGAACTATGTTTCTGATGATTACTTTTTTATGTGATAGCCTGAGGAAAAATGATTCTTGCCTTTTCCAACAGCAAAGTTAATGAAACAGAAAGAACCGGAATTTGAACATGGCTTGCTAATTTCAATTTCTGTGTGTTATTTTCTTGTTGTCTTTTATGTTTCTCACGTTATCATATACTGGGTCATGTCATGAATTCTGGAAATCATTAGGGTCATATACTGCAGTTATAGCAACAGTGGTGTGTCTAGGGTAGTCATAGTAAACTGCAGCCTGTGGGCCACATGCAGCCCAACTGGCTTTCTGTATGGCATGCTTCATTTCATGAGGAAAATAATATTTATTAAAATGTTGGTTTGTTTTCTTTATTTCTCACTTGTCACTCATGTACTCTCATACATAAACAATGATTAAGTACAAGGTTTCTTGAATGTTGTAATTTTTCATTGAATGTAACATTGTAAGCATTTTAAACCATTGGCGATTTTCACTAAGGAAGACCATAAGTGTAAACATCTTTTGCTAGAAAATGTCAATGATAATTATTCTTCTTTTACAAATATTTTCATATACTCAGATGAATAAATTAGAAACAAATCACATTCAGCAATGCTGTTATCAGGGATAATATTATACCAAGACTTCAATTTTTTAATTATACAAGGAATCTTTTCTAGAAAGAAAAAATCCAACTTTTCCCCATTTTTAAGGCAGATGCTTTTGTTGGGAAAATGGCTGTGGTTTCTTTAATAAAAAAAAAACAAAAAAAAAAAACTTATTTCTTTCAATTGTGTGGACTGTCTTATGTACTGTACCTCATGCTGCCCATGCCTGGTCTAGGACAAGATAGTCTGACTGAGTTTAAGCTGGTTTTGAATAAAGTTTTCTTTCTCCTAGATGGGTTGCCACCAAATACAAGAAAGTGCAGACTGTCCTGCTATCTAATGTAATTGGTAGAATATGGATTCCTCTCTTTTCCAAGGGTAATGTGGAGTGTTATAAAAATTGATTGAAAATATGACACAGAGGTTAGAAGCCACATTGGAATAGTGAAAGATGCCTTTGAGAAAATAAGCAAAATATTAAGAATCAGGAAAATTTTATTGAACAAAAAGAAGTGTGCTCAACTGTAATGTACAGTTATCCCTCAATTAATGTGCTTTTAATTAGTGTGCTAAAATTTTTATATGTCAAAATTCAATTAGTACATACATAATACTTGATTGGTGTGATAAAACTTTTAACTTTTATAGTTATCGATGTACACATTAGCTGCACTAATCAAAGCATTCCTGTGATATCAATTCTGGGAATGCTGGACAATTTCCTTACAGAAGAAGAGGTAATAAAGATGTAGCTACATTGAGATCAACATTCTTGATAGCAACGTACCTAATTTGAGGGCATAAAAGACCCACTTTTCCAATATTGTAATTGCCTCTTTCAATGGCATGCAAAACCCACTTTTCCATATTTCAACTACCCCATTTGATGGCATGTAAGACCCATGTTTCACTTTATAATTATCCTATTTTATGGCATATAAGACCCACTTTTCCCAATGTTTTAATTACTTTTTTGATGGCATACTAGACCTATATTTCTCTTTGTAATTATCCTATTTCATGGCATTTAAGACCTTTTTCCACAAAAAATATAAGCATTTCATAAATTTTAAATTTAGGATGTTTTTTTTTCCCACATCTCCAAAATATTGACATAAGAACTTGAATCATATTCTTAAATAATTTTATCAGATCTAGATTCTCATCTGGATGTCATACATAGTGTTCAACTCATTCAGAAATGTCCAAATTATCAGCAAGATACATTTTTCTCTTTTCTCAGATCAGTGATTTAATATGAATTCAAGCAAATGAATCCCGTGTGTCTTAAAGATAATCCTTCATCAGATCTCATAGATTGGTGCGAGAGAATTGTAAAAAAAATGAACTTTACCAAATAACAGAAACTACATCACTTGGAGACTTCCAACTACAGCAACTAAAATGGATGCAACATGTAATAGAAAGAGAAAATGATATAATCAAGATATTGACTTTCTACAATGCCTTAAGGAAATGACTATCAGTTATTATACAGACTAAAAAGTGTACTTAAGAAAACTATTTCCCCTAAAAACTGTTTTAAGAGAAAGATTTTATGAATTTCAAACAACAGTAATGCTAACTGATCAGTCAATGCCAAATATTTAATTATTTGGAAAGAGAAAGTTTCATGTCTCGATTGTAAGGGAAATGTTCATCGCACCATAAGATCATGCTTAATGTGGATATATAAGGAAAATGTTAATCCCATCATTATAAGAGAAAGGTTCAGTTCAACAATGTAAGGGAATGGTCCATCACAATATTGTAAGTGAATAGTTCATCTAGCCATTATAAATGAAAGGTTTATCTCATCATTTTAAAAGGAACGGTTCATATCCCCAGTGTAAGAGAGAGAGAGGTTCATCTCAACATGACGAGAGAGAGAGAAAGAGAGGTTCATCTCAACATGACAAGAGAGAGAGAGAGAGAGAGAGGTTCATCTCAACATGACAAGAGAGAGAGAGGTTCATCTCAACATGACTAAGAGAAAGGTCCAACTCACCTTTATAAGAAAAAGGTCCATCTTACCATTACAAGAAGGGAACAGTTGATCTCACCATTGTAAGAGAACGGTTCATCTCACCATTATAAGAGAAAGGTACATTTCAACATTGTAAAGGAATGGTTTATCTCACCATTGTAAGGGAACAGTTGATCTCAACATTCTAAGAGAAATGTTCAATTCACCGTTACAAGGGAAAGGTTCCTCTCACCACTACAAGGGCACAGTTTATCTCACCATTATAAGAAAAAGGTTCAACTCACCATTAAAAGGCAATGCTTAATATCACGATTACTAGTTAGCGAGGCTGATATGAGAAACTGACAGCCAATGAATACCTCAGCCTTTTGAGCTGTCTCTTTTTCCTGCTTTTCTATACCTTGATTTTGTAAGTGAAGCTCCCTGATAGATCCCAGTCTCCATATTGCCCTGTTAGATTATCTGTTACCCAATCAATGGTAAAATCCACAAGTGTTGAGATTCCCTCTCAGAGAGACCTCCTGTATATTTTCAGTATGATTTCATCAGACTGTGACTAGTTCTCTGTACAGCAGAAATGTCTTTGAAAGACAATATTCTTCCATTCTCACCATGTAGCTTGCCCACTGTAGAGTTTTGCGGCATAGTCCTGCTTAAAAATACTATCCTGAAATTGGTTGACACCGACACTCAGGAGTTGATAAGACTTTTTTTTGGAATATAAAATTGAAATAATCAAAACAGAACATTGCATTCTTTAGTAGACTACAATGAATCTGCAACAGTTAGTACTTAGGAAATTCTACTATATGTATGTATATATATATATATATAGTAAGACAGAAGCCAAAATTTGTCCGCATTGGTTTCACTTCAAGAAAAAAGAAATTTAAATCAAAAAGCTTTTGAGTCTTAAGGTGAAAGTAAACAGATTTGTTCTGTTATATGAGATCCTATTTGTTTTATGTTTTGAAATTTAAAAACACTGAGGCAATGCAAGGTATCCTTGCTTATGTGCGTTGTACAATTTAACTGTATATTTCAACAAGAGAGCAAGGAAACTGAGAATGTATTCATAACATTCTTCGTCTAATGGAATTATCCAGAGTCTGGGAAGTTGTTATACTTTCAAAACAGAATATGTTCTTATAGAAATACAGAGACAAAAAGATTGAATAGATACTAATCAAAGGTTTACATTTAAGATTTGCAGCTTTATTTTGATAAAGCAAAAAAAAAAAACTACAATACCAATGTTACCAGTTTTCACTTTTTTTTTTTTTTCAGGAAAACCAAAAAATAAAAAAAAATTGTTTTGAGACAGATTAAACAAAAAATGTCCCAACAAAAAAGATTTTGAAAATACGAATAAATTACTGTCTGATAAAATTTGTCTTTTTTTTTTTTTTTTTCTCTTTCTTTAATTTGATATCACTTTTGTTAAAACATATTCTCCATTCCATAATAATAAAAATCTTGAGATGCCAACACAGAATAACTGTCTGAATTTCTAAGATCAGGATTTAATATTTAGAATCAGACTACATTGTGTCCTCCAGCATTTTCTGGTGGCTTTTTCCCAGGTAACTTTCAGGGAATTCTAAACTGAACTCTTATTTCATCCACAAGATGTAGATTATTCTCATTCTGTTGTCTATATCTACAAATATCTTGTCCTTTTTCTTTTAATACTGCTCATTTATTGCAAGTCTTCTTTCCACTCAGTCTGTACTACTCAGCCCAGTGATTGAACTCACAATTTGTATGTCACCATGGTACAGATACCTAAAGAAGCCTGGAAAGCATTATGACTATGACAACCATATAGGATGGTATTTAATTTTTATTTCAATCTTAAGCTTTTCATATTTAATGAACAGCAATAAAGTCTGTGAAATGGGATCTTCAAAAGTAGACACCCACATGACCAGAAGAGAATAAAACAATAAATAAATGAAAATGTTTGGGAACAAGTGATGACAAACCGGACATTGAAGACTTCCATATTAAAAGTCACAGTTGGGATTGAGAGAGTGATGTGTTGCCCTTTACCAGGTGTATTCTCTCCATTAAGAGAAAAGTTATCAGTTGCCTGTTGTGGTATAGAGAGAGAGAGTTCTCACTGGATGAGAGGAGAGGAAAAGTTGATGTCTGTCTCAGATTATCAGAAGTGGAACAAGTTGTCCCTATGTGTCACCTATCTACTCAGACTGTGAAAGAAAATTCCTGAAATTAAATATATATTGGAAACATGGTTTGAGTCAACATTTCTCACCACAGCACTATTTTCACCTTTCATTTTTCTGGGCATGCAATGGGCCTTTCTCAGCTTTTTTATTTTGTTTTTACAGTGACCCTTTATAAGGCCTGGAGGCCACTCAAGGTAGAGGGTTATGTTTGGAGGCAATTTCTGTGTATAGTAGTAGAAGATAAGTTAGCCTTGAACAAGATAAGATTGTAGTGATCAGGGAAACACCCAGTTGGGAGTCGGTCCCACAGGGCAGTAGTTCATGGGAAGAAGCTGTTTGAGTGGAACGTACTTCTCACCAATCGAATACAGAGGGAATGTGGGTGGTTTGCTACTATGTAAGTAGAATGGCATGTTCATGCTGTGAAGGTTTGCCACGGTAGGACCAAGGAATGTAGGTCGTCTGAGCACTTTCCATGGAGGTAGCAGTAGAGCAGCAAGAGATTTACCACATACTGCCTGTGGAAGAGTGGTTGAAAGGTGGAAAACAATTTGTCACCCACAAGGGCTCAGAGATGCTTTTTGGTGTGTACAGTGACATGAACAAGAAGAGAGACACAATGTAGGGTTTCAATGTTCATTTTTTGAAAAGCTGAGAGAAGACTCCATTATATGTTTATAGCATTGCATTTGTCTCCTTCTATCCTAAGGGACAATGAGAGTTATGATCTGTTGTTGGCGTCTACAGGTCCTCTTTGCTTCCCATTGATCCACTCTCAGCTATTTGTGTGGAACCTCTTTCTTACTAATGGAATATAAAGGGAATGACGAAGATTTGACTTTGTTTACATGGCTGAAAAGATCTGAACTGATGGCACTAAGGAATGTAGCTTGTCTGAACATGTACCATTGAAATATTAATGAAAAAAGGTTTGGGAAAAAGTTAAATGAACTGGGGTTTATAAAATAAATAAAGTACTTGAAAAAAATAAAGGAGGTTTTTATTAGCTTGACCTTTAACACTGCAATTTGGTTATTTTTACATAACCCAAATGAGATTATACTATTTATTATTTATTTAATGAATTTTATTTCTCTTCCAGGAGACTGTGAACGAAAACTCAAGCTGCCAATCACTCCAATGTGTGACAGATACACAACATCAATTGCTAAAATACAGTCTGGTAAGAAACATCACATACCATATCCACAATAGTAGATGGTGGAAATCATTTATATACACACATAAATATATTGTTCTGTTTCTCTGTTCAGCAACAAAAATGACAATGATTATATATATATATATATATATATATATATATATATATATATATATATATATATATATATACTGTGTGCCAAATTATTATCGAGATAACTTTTTTCTAATATTTCAAAAACCATCCAATCAAGTCACACAAAATTTTCACACAATGTTGGCAACAGATCTGCGAAATCACTGAAATTTTCGTACTGATCTGGACAATGTAAACAAACTGGCGCCATATTTGTTATCAGCACGGTGATTTGAGCATGCCAAATTATTAGAAAGGTTTAGTAAAATTCCCAGAATTGAACAAACAAAACGTTTATTAATGTTGAACATGAATGTTTATGATCAAAAGAAGCTAATAAATAAGATAATCAAACAAATAATAATAGATACAAACAAAGGCACAGTTTTAAACAAATATGGAATGTGCTTTCCCTGTTTTGAAATTACTTGAAGTCGACGATCCATAAAATTTGTTAATTATAGGATGTCATCTTCTGTAATGTCGCGAGATATGTCAAGAATTGCTTCCCACAACTCAGTGTTGCTCCTGAATTGTCGGCCGTTGGCGTACAGTCTTCGCTTCATGATCCTCTAAAGGTTTTGATTAGGTTCAAATCCGGAGAATTTGCTGGCCACTTCATTTTTCGAGGTCCATCGAAGCCTAACTGTTTCAAATATTCAGTAGTCTTGTGAGCAGCTTGTGATGGGGCATTATCTTGCATAAAAACAATGGCCCTTCTGAAGGCAACTCTTTGCCTTTTCATCCACGGTTCAAGATGCTCCTTCATAAACACTATGTATGCATCAGCAGTCATTTTGACGCCATCTGGTACTCTCCATGGGCCCACTAATGTGTTTCCAATAATACCACCCCAGATCATTATGCCTTCACCGCCATATTGGCGTCTCAAACACTGATGGCGATTCTGTTCGTTCATTGCTCAGCCTTTGCACCATCTATCTGACCCATCAAATGTTGCTCAAGTTTCGTCTGTGAACAAAACTTTAGAGAAGTCAATCTTCATATTGTCCTCGGCCCACTTCAATCGATTTTGAATGTGATTTCTCGTCAACGGAGACTTCGATACAGGTGGACTGTTGTTGCTGTTTCCCTCAGATACCGACACCGAGTACTTTTAGACACAGTAGGATCCCCAATGCAACTGAAAAGCTCTTAGCTAGTAAGTCCAGGATTCTTCATGGCCTCTCGTTTAAGTCGTGACATGAGACGACGTGAACCCTTGTCTTGCCTTTTATATGCCCTTTTTGCATTTTTTTTTTGTAGGACCATGATGAATTTTTCACTGTTTGATGACACTTCCCTATCATTTTAAAAATTTCTAGTGTAGATTTACCTTTTGAGAGTTCTGAGGTAAAAGTTTTCTTTTCAGCATCACTTAAACTGCTTTCACAGCCCATCTTTTCACTAAATTCTTATACTTTTCTAATAATTTGGCATGCTCAAATCACCATGCTTATAACAAATATGGCGCCAGTTTGTTTACATTGTGCAGATCAGTACGAAAATTTCAGTGATTACACAGATCAGTGTTGCCAACATTGTGTGAAAATTTTGTTTGAATTGATTGGACGGTTTTTGAAATATTAGAAAAAAAGTTATCTCGATAATAATTTGGCACGCAGTGTGTATGTATGTATATATATATATATATATATATATATACATACATACATACATACATGTGTGTTGCATATATATATATATATATATATATATATAAAAACATACATAGATTTCTGTTTCTATTATTATTGAAGGAGCTTTTGTGTAGTCTTTGCCTCGATTTAAATTCCTTTTTTCTAGATCCTATATGTTGGCATTTATATTGGATCCTACATTTTGAAAACAAAGCAATTGATTCAATTAACCTCCTGATTTTTAAACTTAATTGCTCTACATGTTAGGTTTACATTTATTGTTGTTTTATTTTTCATAAGTGTATTGACCACTTTTAATACTACTGTTTCATAGTCTGATTCAACTGGACAATTAATTATTTATTTATATATATATATATATATATTAGTTGTTATTTTTACACAAGCTTTCGTCTGTTCATACAGACATCTTCAGGTATATAATAGATGTTGTTCTTGTTTTTTTCTCTTAGTAATAAGAGGACATCGAAAATATATGTGTATTGTATCCCAAATGCTATTGAAAATGAGATATTGGTTTTGAAAGCGTAAAGCAACGCTAAGTTTGATTTTGAATTTCTTTTTTTTTAAAAATGTTTGCGTTTATACCAAATATGGTAATGAACAAATTATTTTACTGGTAAATTTTACTGTCAAAGTGGCATGAACTATATTGTTCAATAATTACAGTAATGTCGCACTTATTAACCAAAAGACGCACTTGGATCAGATATTTAAATTACAATAAACGTGCAATCAATTTACAAATACATGAATTATTCACACAAAACTAATGCAAAGGTTAATGATTTAAATGGCAAGACATCCATCTCGCAAACAATTCAAATATTACACAAAAACCTCGAGATCCGTTATGAATGAATTGATCCTTGTTCATATAAATTTCTGCCGTATTAGTTGTTATTTTTACTACAAGCTTTCGTCTGTTCCTACAGACATCTTCAGGTATATAATAGATCCATGTGCGACTTTTGGTTAATAAGTGCGACATTACTGTAATTATTGAACAATATAGTTCATGCCACTTTGACAGTAAAATTTACCAGTAAAATAATTTGTTCATTACCATATTTGGTATAAACGCAAAACATTTTTAAAAAAAGAAATTCAAAAAAATCAAACATAGCGTTGCTTTTAGCTGCGTTCAAAAACCAATATCTCATTTTCAATAGCATTTCTGATACAATACACACATATATTTTCGATGTCCTCTTATTACTAAGAGAAAAAAAAAACAAGAACAACATCTATTATATACCTGAAGATGTCTGTATGAACAGACGAAAGCTTGTGTAAAAATAACAACTAATACGGCAGAAATATATATATATATATATATATATATATATACATACATACACACACACAAGGGGAAAAAGATTTCCTTTGATGCATTTTCAATTCGCTCACTGAGTCAGTGTGATTCTAATATGTTTCCTGTGATGCATTTTGTCTTTTTGTTCTTTATCTTTGTTATGTTGGTTCGATTACATATGCACATGAAAAAGGGATGCTGGCAATTTTAAATTAATATTTTTTATCTAATCTAGCCAATTGCATTTAGTTCTTTTTTCTTTCTATCACTTTTGTTAGTAGATATCCTACACTGTGATGAAAAAAAAAAAACGTCTAAATGAAATCAGCTAGATAAAAAAATTTCTGCTTAAAATTCCCTGCATCTCTTGTTTGTGCTGATGTACAATCATACGAAATAACAAATTTAGTCCAGTGAAATCTGAAAGGATGAAATGCATATATATATATATATGCATATATATATATATATATATATATATATATATATATATATATATATATATAATCTGTATAATAAATTTGAATGTCAGTGTGTGCCTGTGTCACGCTTATTTTGAATCTTTACTCCCAGAGTCTGTCGCCTAACATTATACCACTTTGGAATCAGGCCGACTCTGAGAGTAAATTAGAAACATTCTGAGCCAGATCTGGACCCACGATCCTGAAATTTGGGATTCCTAAATTTTCATTACTGCGATTGTTTTAAAAAAAAAATTTTTACATCGCTACACAAAAGCTTTCATGTCTCAATACTATGATTGTACTTCCTCAGGTGATGGTAGGTACCTTGTGATAAAAATGATTTATTAGGGAAATTTAAAAGCTAATTTTTTATTATTATTATCATTATTTTTTTCATTTGATGATAAACTGATGCTTGGACATGTCATGCAACGATCGTAGGAAACATGGCAATGACAAATGTATTATGGATGTAGTCAAGTATGACATTCCGATTTATTGAAGTAGACAAAATTATCAGAAAAATTTTTTTTTTTTAATTTTTATATTCAGGACGCTTCTTAAAGGGGCCAATAGGTAAAATTAAGAATGTGGAATATATGTGTATATATATATATATATATATATATACACACACACACACAACGCTAATTATACTGAATAGGCAGTAAAACATGGCAATATTAAAGTTGAATAAATCAAATAATTATTGGGTGGACCATTATATACTAATAAAACAATAAGTATACAATTGTAATACATAATTATTTATGAAAAATATTTTTAACTATATTTTAAGGTAAAATATAGACAATGCTGGCTTAATACAGTTAATTCATTTCTTTGGTTTAACAGAGCTTTTTTATTAGCACACTTTATAATATGTAATTGTTTTGTAAATAAAGGGAACATAGATCATGTAAGGATTTATAAGTTATATTTTTTTTAATATTGTCCATTTTACCGTAGGATTTTTAACTTCTTTTAAGTACAAAAAATAATCAGAAATGGATGTTCTATTACAGTACGAAAGATAATGTGTGTTGATACTACCTAGTTTTAAATTCATTTTTGGTACTGCCGATATAAATTTTTTTTAACTGTTGGATTTTCTCTAGATGAAATACTACTTAGGTAAACAAGGGAATCAGTTTGACACCCATTTTGCAATAGACAGTTGTTAGGATTCCTACAATTACACAAGTTGGTATCATTATTGTTTGTTGCTTTAGAATGGTAATTGTTACTTAGGTTTATGTGTTGATTTAAAACTTTATTATTGTGTTTTTTGACAATTTTTTCAAGATTATCTGTACAGATATATCTTAAGTGTATTTTTATTAAAAATCTTACTAAGAGGATATGTTTTTGATTATAGGATAGAGATTGATTAGAATTTGGGTAGATATATAGTGGATTCCCCAGAAATAATACTCAGTTTATCTTGACATGAAAAAATAACTCACTTGCCTCCACCCTCTGACCTTATTTTTCTTTTTAGCATAAATCTGACTTTTAATTGGTTAATCTAGACATACCCACAAGTATATTTTTAATTCTGACCTTATGCACCCCCCTTAACATCCGAGTTTTTAAAAAATTTCCCTAATAAATCATTTTTATCACAAGTTATCTACTATCGTCTGAGGAAGTACAATGATAGTATTGAAACATGAAAGCTTTTGTGTAGCAATGTACAATGCTTTTATTATAATCTATTATGATAAAAATATATATATATATATATATATAGACACACACACTCCTCCAAATCTTTTGAACAGGAGTAAATGTTTATCCCTTGTTCAATGTTTAGAAGTTACTGGAAATCCAATTTTAAAGTTTTTTCATTCTCTCTCACTCCCAATAGGATCTTGCTTTGATGTGAATTGAAAAAATATATATATATATATATATATATATATATATCTATACACACATGTATACCTGTGTCTTTTTCTTGATCAATAGATTATTAAAGAGGAAATAAAACAAAAGTTTAATCCTCTCTCTTTACAATTTTTCAGGTTTTATGGAGTATGTCGTGAATCCATTATTCCAAGAATGGCTACGTTTCATTCCCTCTGTCCTTTCAAAGAACATGCTGAAAAATGTGTCCTCCAACAAGAACCGCTGGGACAATGAACGTGTAAATGAACTTAAGAGGGAGGCTGAACTAAACTACGAGGAGCAGAACTCTGACAGTCTTTCATCAGTATTCGAACTTGATGAAACTAACTTGGCGAATTACGATGACAATTTTCAGACTAAGAAGCTTGAGGAAGAGGAGGATGATGAGTACAACAGTGGATCTGAAGAGGCTGATATTATTGGAGAAACTCGCTTCATGTGTATCGTTCCTTCCAGACACGGTTCCCTGGAATACTCCGAGAGCTTGCGGAGCAATTCCCCTGTCTCTGAAAACCGTGAGAATTTCATTCCAGGGACACGTCGACACAGTCTGCCACTTAGCTGTTTCCGCCGTGAATCAATGCGAATAACTGTCAGGAGAGAGAGCTTCCCTCATATGCAAAAATCACGTAGGAGCATACCGCGTACCAACTTCCATTACACTACCTCATTTGATGGATTCTTCTCAACAAACAGCAAGAGTATCTCCATTGAAAGTGTGCTAACCAGGCCAAAAATAACCACGCTTAGTCCAAGTTCAGATGCAAGTCGGCTGGCCTCCCGGTTAGTATTTTCAGATCCCCATCTTGCACAACGAAGTAACTCAATACCAAGCACCCAGAAGTCATCAAGCCGCCTGATGTCTCTTCTTGCACTCACTGCAATAAGTCCATCTGCTGAAATAGATTATCCATTGCAGGCATTCCAGTCTCGCACAGTCCTTGCACCCCTGTCCAGCAATACCCAAGTGGGCTCTACCTCCAGGGAAATCTGGCAGACGAGAGATGCTGCACTGAACCCACTACGAAGAGTACCTGCCATCGATCTCACATTTCAAATCAAGGGCCAGGCTTTGGGTGCACATGGTGAACTGTCTCAGTCTGGTGGAAACCGGTTGCTACCAGATAATTCCAGAACAGATTTAATTCCTGTAAGCAGCAGTGAGCCACTAAGACTTTCTGAACATTCTCGAAGACGGTTGTCTGATGAAGAATCTTTGTAATAAGGAAGGAATTAAAAAAAAAACAAAAAACAATATGAAACCAATCTAAAACATGAGTGAGTGAATTCTATAGGGAGAATTTGGTGTGATAGCTTTAATTTTATCAGTGAAATTTAAACAAAATATTTTTAAAAAAATTTAAGATATAAATTTTAGCTGTTTTGTATAAGCAGTCGATAGTGATAGGAAGTATTTTGAAAGCTAATTTTTTTTTTTAAATAGTTTCAAACATTTAATTTGTCTTTAATAATTTTTTTTTTTTTTTTTAAATTGAAAATAACTGAAATTAAAAAGTACAGATTTTAAAGTTAATTTGGTGAGGCAGTTTATATGTTAGACGTATGTAATAGTTTCCAGCATTTTTATTTTTAAATTTAAACAAAGAAAAATAGTTTTCTACAGTGTAATCAATCACGACTTTTCAAGAAAAAGGGTGCTAGAAACATTTGTGCACATTTAATATTTAATAAGTGGAGAATGAATGAAACAGAATGTGTTATGAAGCTGCAAGTGATTAATTAAAAAAAAATAAAAATAAAAAAAAAAAAATTAAAAAATGACCAAACCCAATTCAAACACTTAACTGGCTCAGGTAAATTTTTAGGTGGAAAGGTATATAAAAGAATATATCTACTACCGAGCAAAAGTTTGGGACAACATTGATTTTTTTTTTCCTCTAAATTAAAAAGTGAATCAAGTTTAAAGAAATAAATTTATTTTTTTCTGTGTTTGTATGCAATTATGCAATAAACTTATATCAAAATGAATATAAAATAATTATAATTTCATTTAAAGCAAATTTATTTTTTCTTTCCATCAAAGAATTCATCACAAGAATTTATTATTGCAGAGCACATTCTTGGCATCCTTTCTAATACCGTGTAAAACTATGTTGGCGGAAGTGATTCTCAAGCAGTGTATAAATGTGTAAACACCTCTCGCTTATTCTTAGGCAGTTCACGTTGAACTTTACAATCAATTTCGCCCCAGACAAGTTCAATTGGTAAAAGATGTGTAGAATGTGGGGGCCAAGTCATGATTTGCAAAATTCCCTTATCTTCCTTTGATTTTAGATAATTTGTACACAGTTTTCAGCTTTTTCTTTTTATCATTATCCTGTTGCAAAACAAAATTTTTCCAATAATGTGGCAGTCAGATAGAATTTTTTAAGAAACAATTCAAGGTGGTCCCAAACTTTTGATTGCTTATATATATATATATATATAAGCAAATAAAATGCTGCTGAATGTGTAAGCAAAAGAAAATGCAGATCTAAATTCTGATTTCATCTAAATATTTCTTCAACTGTTGTTTATTTGAACTTATTTACAAATGAACTGAATTCAGTTACTTTTCCTTTAAACTTAAATATTCTGTTCTTAAATCACTGCTGTAAACTGGCATTATTTATATTAAAGTCTTCTTCCCTCTAGAAACATTTCTTATAATCCTGTACAAGATATTTTTCCGACCCCTTCGATAAGATTAGATTATTTTCATTTGGGCTTCTCAGGTCAATTATAAAAAAAAAACCTTCTTGCAGTTGTATATTTTTCCTCCCTTTGGCCATTTTTTTTTTAATGTGTGTACACACAGAGAAACACTAAATTATATATACATGATATATAAATATATATTTATACATGTCTGTGTGAGGATGTTATGTTGATAAGTTCTTCTTACAAAGCAAAAAAGAAAAAAGCAGAACCCATGTCCTGTCGAAATTACTGCCATTGTCTGTGAAAGATTACATTTCTGAATATGAGTACAAAGAAAATAAAAATACATTATTGACATGACAATAATAAAAAAAAAAAAAAAAAAATTCTGTTTTTTGTCATTTACTAAAATGTTTCTTTTTAATTCTTTCTTGGTTAAACGGATCTTTTTGTTTTTTTTATAATGATGTTCACTCTGTACAAGACCTGAGAGCCACTCGAGGTAGAGGGTTACAGAGAAGAGGCACAGTTTATAGGGATATGTCGGGATGATAACATTTGACCCTAGGCTTGAACAGGTTAAGATTTTAGCGATCAGAGAAGCATCATCTTGGGAGTCAGTCCTACAAAGCCACAGTTCGTGAGAAGAAGAAGAAGCTCCAGTGTAACTTAGATCTCAACAGTAGAATACGAAGGAATGAGAGTGGTTTGCTACAATGGACATGAGATGCTGGGTTTTAGCTGTGAAGGTAAGACCTGACTAAACTAAGGAATGTAGATCGTCTGAACACTTTCCATGGAAATAGCAATAGAACAGTGAGAGACTTGCAATGTTTAATTTGTGGAAAAGGTTTGATGGATGTTAAGAACAAAAAAAAAAAAAAAATGATTAACTCTAGGGTTAACCATTTTTTTGAAAATGAACGGTTGTAGCGATTAGGAAAGCATCCTCTTGGTTTCAGTTCCACACAGCAGTGGTTCATGGGAAGAAGCAGCTTGACTGGCCAATGAGGGTGGATCGCTACAATAGGCGTGGTATGACAGGTCTTAGCCATGAAGGTTAGCACTGGTGGAACTAAGGAATGTAGTTTGTCTGAACACTTTCCATGGAAGTAGCAATAAAGCAGCGAAAGGCTCACATTTTGTCTAATCTATCATTCACTTGAAAAAGGGAAGAATTCATCTTCCTCCAGCTATGGGTTAAATAGCAGGGTAGACTATGCCTTGAGGTGGCAATTAGTCTAGCAGGAAAACCGAACTGAAAACCAAGCTTAAAAGAGAAGGGGACAGTCTGGCTATTTTGCCAAAGACATGAGCATTGCTGCAGTTTCCAATAAATATGTTGCCCTTACAATCACAATATAGTGGAATGGGGCTTCGGGGTTAGAATGAACAGTTGACTTTCCCACGCCAAGAAGATTAATGGAGGATGAGATGACGAGGAAACACACAGGTAATTTTCAACAAAACAAGATAAGGAATTTATTTTCGAATCTACATGCTTGAATTTGTCAGTATCTCATTTCAGGAAAATAAATAAAAAATTTTTAAAGACTCACGTATTGTCCTGAAAAGGAAATGTTCATACAACAGATTAAATCATCCGACACAAAATAATATTCAAAAAGTATAGCAAAATAGAAAATCACCTACCTCGAAAAAGAGTCCGTGTTTTGTGTGTGGCCTGCCGAAGAAGAATTAAAGAAAATAGCAAAAGTCTGCTACTTTATGTATCAGAGAAACTATGATAATGTTCTTTCCTCTCCTGAATGATCTGTCAGGGAATAAAAGCCGTTGTTATTTTGCTTACCGGGAGAAAACAATTTTTTCTGAGCTTGGTGGACAAACATACGTTTCTGCTGGTGGGAAGTGAAGGTTGAATTTCTGACCGTTTTTTGTCATTACTACATTACATTATGACAGGTTTTTGTTTGAACTTTGAACTGGCTACAAGTGTCACGGATGAGACAAGTAACTGATTGCAGGCATCTATTGTTTAACATTTTTTTTATGTTTGTTTTCTCCTACAACAAACAAAGGTAAAAGAGTTTATTGCTCAGAAAAGGGGTATACAGTTTGCATCCATTCAAAGGTAGATGAAGTGAAATATTTTGAAATACTTAACATTTTTAGATTGTTGAAGGAAAATTCTTTGAAATACTTGGTTAAAAGCCAATAATTGGTGAGTAATTTTACACTGGCAATAACACTGGTTGCTGACCATGAGAAACTGAAGCAAAACTTTTTACATACCTTCAGACACACTTCTCTTATTAATTTAATTTTTCTCATTTCATATCAAAAGGAATTTTGCATAGGCTTGCTATTTTCTTTTCTTCCTTCTTGGCTCAATGGCTAATTTCTATGAAGACAAGGTTTTCATTGGTTCAAAACAACTTCACATCGGCTCACAAATTTCTTTCCGTTATTTTTTTCAGTTTGCTGGTCAATTTCTTTGAATGTAAGGTTTTCATTGATCCAAAGAAAATTTCACATAGGCTCATGAATTTCTCTCCATTTTCCCCAGCACACTCGAATTTGAAGGGAGTAAGTAAAGGTAGTTATTATTATTTCGTACTCACCACACCTAATACGATTATGGGACTTGTGATATACCCTCATTCCAACAAAGATGAAGGCTTTGATCTTATTAAAATGGGGGTGCAGGCTAAAAAACTTTCCAAATTATCAATTCTCCCCACCTATTCTTTGGGTTGAGAATTTTTCAGCAACCAACTTTTTTGTTGTCAGAATAAGAGCTAACGCCTGGCTTAAAAATAAATAAATAATAATTACACAAGATATCAATTAACCAACGTCATTTAGATGAGTTCTAAACCTCTACTGTTAGGGGCATAATACAAGGGTCGGGTGGGGGAATTCTTAATAATTGTAAGGGAGGAATCAGAATTTTTTTTCAATATGCACTAAAGGCATTTTCTTAATAAAAGTGGATTAGAAAATGATTTAAAAGAGATAAGTGTAAAATTAAGGCCAGTCTTAAATTGGGGTTGGGGGAGAGTAAAATTCCCTCAAAGAAATGAAAAGAAAAAAATCATCCCATTTCACCCCAAGTAAGGTGATAATGCCACTAAGACACAAGACGATTTTAGTGAGGAGAAAAGACAATAATAAAACAGCTTTCAGGAAGACGATGGCGACTGATGTTGCAGTTAAATTTTTGAAGATTGTAGGTGTCAAAGAAGCAAGAAGCTAGATGAGTTCCAGCGTTCAGAAGTGTGATAAAAGAACTATTAGAATAGAACTTATTTTTAAATCTATCTAGTTCAACTGTAAAATGGTAACAACTAGTTTCAAATCTAGTTGTACACTTAAATTCATGCTGTCAAGGCACCAAGGAGGAAAGCGCACTAGAACAAAGGCCATGAACCTATCGGTAGAAAGGACAGATAGAAGCCATGTCATGACAGTGAGAAAGTAACTGAAGTCGAGATGCCAGATCAAGATCGATTACATCACAGACCCTTCTATGAATTTCGTCAAGAATTTCGATATATATATATATATATATATATATATATATATATAAAATTCGATATA